TTATATCATATCATATTCACCTTCATGGCTTCACCTTCACCTAACTCACTTTCAGTTCAGTCGTCGCAGTTTCTGGGGCAACGACCTTCTCACCTTCAGCAGTCAGATGGCACACGAAGGGAAGAAGTCAATATTCACAATCTTTCGTTCATTCTTATATGCAGAGACGTGTCGCGAGATGTGTGTGTGTGCGTGCGTGCGTGCGTGTGTATGGTGTGTTTGGGTATGTGTGTGTGTGTGTGTGTGGTGTGCTTGTTTGTTTGTTTGTTTTCTTAGCTTTTTCTTTTCTGTGTATGTGTGTTGTGTGTGGTGTGTGTGTGTGTGTGTTGTGTGTGTGTGTGTGTGTGTGTGTGTTGTGGTGTGTCTGTGTCTGCGTGCGTATGGTTGTGGTTGCGTGTGTAAGTGCGTGCTTGCTTTTTTCTTTTCTTTTCTCGAGTGTGTGGTGTGTGTGTGTGTGTGTGTGTTTGTGTGTGTGTGTGTGTGTGTGTGTGTGTGTGTGTGTGTGTGTGTGTGTGTGTGTGTTGTGTGTTGTGTGTGTGTGTGTGTGTGCGTGCGCGCGTGCGGTGTGTGTGTGTGTGTGTGCGTGCGTGTGTTGTGTGGTGTGTGTGTGTGTGTGTGTGTTGTGTGATGTGTTTGTGTGTGTGTGTAAAGCCAGCACACCAAATATAATGTGCGTGCGCGTGTGTGTGTGTGTCGCTATGTGTGTTGTGGAATGTGTGTGATGTGTGTGTGTGTGAAGATTCGTGTGTTGGTTTGTGTCCTCGTGCGTGATGCCACTCTAATGCTGTGGTGTGTGTGTAACATGTTCCGCACCATGTATGGTGTGAGTGTGTGTGTGTGTGCAAAATGTGTGTGTGTGTGTGTGGGTGTGTGTGCTTGTTTGTGCTTGTGCGAGGGTTTTTTTATTGATACCATAAAACTGGTGAGACGCTGGCGTAGCACCCAAAATCGTGTGCTGTTGTGTTATGCAAAATTTTATACGTTCCAAAAAGTGAATAGGGCTTAACTGAACATAAAATATTTATGGTCACCTGGTATTCCATGTATGTTAGGTATCAAGCCATTAATCAATTATATTTATTATTTTTTTTTTTTTAATGTCTTTCTCACATATCATAATGTTATCTGTGTCCAATAACCAGTCATCTAATTGTTTATCTATTTATTAATTATTCCTTTAATTTACAACAAGAAATTTCAACAAAAATTCAAAACATAATATTTATACAAACAAACAGTCAGCTGATTACTCGCCAGCGTTCGATTCTGAGAAAAAAGGAATGACGCACGCAAAAGCCAATCAAACCCCATTTTCTAAGGAAGATTATATATTTCTAAGAAAGATCTATTGTATAAATGAAGATTACTGTATTGTCAAGGAGTAGTCTTCCACGTTTCTAAAAAAAGAAAACAAATTTATTTTTTTAATCAATTATGAACATGATACAAGATTGACTCACTTCCGAATGGGAAATCCAATTGATCCTCTCTGTTCTGACACGCGCCCTGCCTCTTCGGCTTGCTAACGCACCTACATCGCAGTCCTGTCTTGCCGCACTTGCCTGCCGGAGCACGAATTCTCCAACCTGACGTTCACACGACTTGATTACAAGGATACGCCAATCTAGAATCAAACTGACCCTTCCTTGACCCAAACTTCC